TTTGATGGGTTAAGTGCAGAGAACCCATTTCGTTACTGTATAGAAACTTATAGGCCTGTTGCAATAAACAAAAATGAATTAATCACATGATAAATGAAAATTATCAACCTCATTTTCATTTATCTGCTTTATCGTTTCTTTGTGTCTCTCTCTTTCTACTGAAGACCCTGGATGACAAAAAGCTCAACTCCGGTGTTCTTCACTGACCCTCCCTTTCTCTTTTCTCTTTAAAATCTGTTTTAACAATCCAAAATCACATTTTTGGATTGTTAAAAGCAGCTAAGCTGAGAAGCTAAGCTACGAGCTAAGCTAACAGGCTGACCTCGGGAAAAAAAACTCCGTCTTGTCAAAGCTCCAAAATTCACGGTTGAAACCTGTGCCTTTGTGTAAAAACTTGTTTTTCTCTGCAAAAAGAAGCTGAGAACCTAGTTATTGATTTTTTAATTAAAAGCTTTGTGTGAAAAATGCTATGCTAAAGCACTCGAACCACACCGAGCGTCTGCCATTTTGAGAACCAAAGAGCGACTGCTCATGTCACGTCAAGGAGCCTCCCTCCCATTTTTCTTAAAGAGACACGCTGCTCGCTCACTCACTATCCATCCTTTTGTTCAAACAGTCTTATACTGCCATCCGGTTGTCGAAAAAATGTATTACACTCAAAACAAATAACCAAGATTTCTTCTTAAATTTGACAATTACTAATTATTGTCAAATTTCAAACAATATTATCGTTTATCACAATGATTTCGGAGACAATTAGTCACCCAGCAAAATTTGTTTTCATAACAGGCCTAGACACATACGACGATGACAACATTTAGCAAAAATACACAATGTAAACACAATTTCATTCCACCTCATGTACCACATGTAATGCGAATGACAATAAAGGACCTTGAACATTGAACATTGAACTAAAAATAAAAAGAGTAAATAAACGTGTGCAGGACGCATCAACACCTATGGTTCAGAAGGAGAACTGCTGCTGTAAACAACAACAAACCCTCAAAAGCAATAAATTAATATTAATCTAATAATCCAGGAAAAAAAATTGTGTTTTATTATTTGTAATGCAAAAATACATTTAGCTGCTTGCTGCTAAATTACAGAGTATGAAATACATCTGTTGATGTCATGTGTATTCTTTTTTCCATCTATCCATCCATCCATCCATCCATTATCTTTTACCCGCTTCTTCCAATTTTGGGTCACAGGGGTCGCTGGTGCCCATGTCCAGCAGTCACTGTGCGATGGGCGGGGTACACCCTGGACAGGTCGCAAGTCCACATAGAGACAAACGAGACAAACAACCATTCACTCTCTCACTCACACCTAGGGACAATTTAGAGTTACCAATCAGCCTAACATGCATGTTTTTGGTCTGTGGGAGGAAACAGGAGTACCTGGAGAAAACCCTCGCATGCACGGACAGAACATGCAAACTCCACCCAGAAAGGCCTCCGGACCGGGTTTTGAACCAGGGACCTGCTCGCTGAGAGGAAGCAGCTCTACCAGTTGCACCACCGTGCTGCCTATTCTTTTTCCCTTAAGCCCAAATTATTTGTGTATTATTATTTTTTTGTGAGTCAGGTTTTATTAAAGTGTTTTGCAAATTTGAAACCTATTTGTGAGCAGCTATTTAGTTTAAGCAAGTAAATCAGTTTCAAAAACTGACATAAACCATTTTTTTGTTTTGCCGTATGTTGTATCTCAATATGGCGGCATGGCAGACAGTGGTTAGAGCTGTTGCTTCACAGCAAGAAAGTCACCTTTTTGCTTGGAGACCATTCTGGGTGGAGTTTACATTCTCCATATGCATTTGTGGGTTTTTCTGTGGGTACACGAGTTTTTCTCCCACAGACACAACAACATGCATGCTACATGGCAACTCTACATTGTCCCTAGGTGTGAGTGTTTGTCTTTATCTGTCTCCTTGTTGGACTTGAGACCTGTCCAGTTAGTACCTTGTCTGTCGCAGAGTGACTGCTGACGAGTGGCATCAGCTATTCCACGACCTGGGAAGTAAAAATTGGGTGAAGAAAATGGCTTGATAAATGTCAGTGTGTTAGAGCTGAATAATACTGTATTATATCGGTGTTAGCTGCTGTTAATTAATGAATCAGGTTGTTGGTTGTGT